GATGATTTGTATTTACTTTTCCAGGTACGGAGGGGGGCGGGGCGCAGGGCGTGGGGGGAGAGGAGCACTGTCAGATTGAGTGATTTTAAAACTAAATTCACAGTCTGAAGTTTTCTTGATTACCCAAGTTGTGTAACTGCCACCCAGGAAATATTCTGGTAGGGTGTAGAGAGCATTCCAGATTTCCATTGACCAAATGGGCTCTCTCTTGCAGCTCAAGTCTCCGGTTCTCCTGACTCCATTGGCCCTCTCACCTCCACGGAGTACGCCAGAGCCTGACCTCAGCTCCATCCCTCAGGACGCAGCCACCATCCCCAGCCTGGGAGTCCCTCAGGCGCTCACAGGTAGGTCAGGAGAATGAACTCCAAGGCTGTGATGGCCTGTCCGTCATTTAACAGTTACTTTATGAATTAGAGAGCTGTCACGGACATAGCTCAAATAAAGGATGTAGTTTGTTAGCTAGACAGCAGATAGGATGACCAGATTCTCTGAGAACATGAGTTTAAATGTCTCATAGTTTGGATTATTTGAAATTTGATTTTCAGTGTATCTTGGGTTCAGCTGGTTGCCTTGAGGTGGGACTGGAAAGAGTAGTTGGTGGCCTAGATTTTTCTTTTCAGAGCCAGGTTTACTTTGCACCAATAGTGAGCCTGCGCACCTTGAAGAGTTTCCACCCCTATTTGCACCTCCAGATCTCCCAAGGATCCTAATCTTTAATTCCACCTGGCTCCCTCCAATTCAGTCAGGGTAGCACTCAGCCCAGCGTCTCTCATGGGACATTCAGCAACCAACAGTTCCAATGTACGAATAGCAGCAATCAGATTTTGTCAAACACACACACACACACACACACACACACACACACACACAAACACACACACACACACACACACACACACAGTCCCTCCTCATCACAACCCCCCTGCACTGCCTTCCCACCTAAATTCCTTCATTCTCCTCCCATTTATGGCCAACAAGGCCCTGTAAGTTCCCTCCCTCTGTGACCCAGCCCACTGCTCTCCTTAGTCCCTGGGGCCCAGCACAGGATCTTAGCACAGTTTCTTCTCTCCAACTGGAATGATCTTCCCTCTGGTCATCCTATGTCTCCCTTGTCTCTCAGCTCAGGCACACCTGCCTCCTTCATGGGCTTCTTGCCAGGGTCCTCAGGGAGTCTCAGGCTGGGACGGTGGTGATGGCCAGGGTCTATGCTCCATCTGTAGGCCTCCAGGGCCCTTTATGAGCCTGTGTGCTGAAGGCTTCTCTCAGGGCTCTCCTAGCACCAGTGTTTCTCACTGTCCCAGTCCCACATCAGTCCCTGTGACTCTCTGAGAAGGCCTGCCTCCCCACTGAGCCCTGTGAAGCCAGGGAGCTCATCGGTTTGGGTCACCATTTTCTCTGTAAGGCCTAGCATGGTGTCTGGCATGAAGGTTCTTATTAATTATATTTACTTAATCGTCTGGGATGAGTAGAAGAGAAGGCAGCCTGGTAGATTGAAAAGGGCATAGGCTTTGACCTCAGAAAGGCTTGTGTCCAAATCCCTGTTGCTCCACTAATTACAAACACTAATCCCTCTAACCACGTGAAGCCTCAGTTTGTTCAGTAGTAAAGGAGAAATAACACCTAATTCCCAGCTTGTCTTAAAAATGAAACAAGATAAAATATATAAAGTGCCTGGAAGATAATAAGCGGTCAATGAAAACTAATTTTCTTCACAATTGTTATTACCGTTCAGTAACCCTGTTGGTGTCCTCTTAAAGTCCCTCTTCAACTCTCCTTTGCATTAGTGTCCCCCAAGGCGAGGTGCTCATGCTCTGGGGTAGGGCTGGGGAAGGGGAAGGGCAGGGGGAGGAGTCAGAAGAGGAGAGTCGATGTACAGAAGAAAATATGATACCTGTTATTAATATATATTTTTATCTCATCCTTTAAAAATTTATTTTTCTTGGTTATGTTTTAAAATGTAAACAATACATTAATACAGACAAGACTGTATATGCCCTATAAATAAATAGATACATTTTGGGGCATGTGCTCAAACTATTTTTACTTTAGATCTGTGGAAAACCATTGATTGTGCTCACCTAAATAGTGGCTGAGTCATTATTTTCCCTGAAATTATAAATAGCATTCCTTTCAGCAGTTGAAGACATAGTTTTTGGAGCAATCAACATTATATTGATGTTTTTACTCATCAAAAGTGGCAGACAGTATGTGTAGCTTGACAGCTCCCTTGGAGAAGAAGGGAAGATTCTGTCTGGGTACATGCCCAGCACAAAAATGCATTTATACACGCTGTCCACATGGGCCTCCGTGTCTGTCAGATCTGAGTACGTCACAGGGGACCCACCTGTCCATCTGTCCCCACCCAGGAGGCCCTCTTGGGAACAAGCCCTGGCAGTTGGGGCAATTGGCTTCTTCGTCTCTTTTACTGACTAAGTAGGAAGAATCACTCCCACTTTTGCCCCTTTTCAGCTTTCCAAGGCCAGGGCCAAGGGGCAGACGGGAGCAGCTCCCTGGCTGATGTGCACTGGTGCTGAGGGCTTGTGGGTCTGTTTCCACAGTCTGCCTCTACATCAACAAGCAGGCCAACGCCGGGCCCTACCTGGAGAGGAGGAAGGTGCAGCAGCTCCCCGAGCACTTCGGGCCTGAGAGGCCGTCGGCGGTCCTGCAGCAGGCCGTGCAAGCATGCATCGACTGTGCCCACCAGCAGAAGCTGGTCTTCTCCCTGGTCAAGCAGGGCTATGGTGGTGAGATGGTCTCGGGTAAGGCTCTGGGGCAGGTTTATGAGGAGGGCCATGGGTATCTCTGAAGACGAAAGCAGCCATGCTCTGCCTAGGCCCTAGGGCAGTGATGGTGAACCTATGACACGCATGTCAGAGGTGACACGAGAACTCATTTTTTGGTTGATTTTTCTTTGTTAAATGGCATTTAAATATATAAAATAAATATCAAAAATATACATCTTTGTTTTACTATGGTTGCAAATATCAAAAAATTTCTATATGTGACACGGCACCAGAGTTAAGTTAGGGTTTTTCAAAATGCTGACACGCCGAGCTCAAAAGGTTCACCATCACTGTCCTAGACTCTTGAGATGGCATTTGAGAAAAACTTAACTCTTTCTTGAATCTACTTGGTGACACAGAGAGGCTCTGAGGCTGACTGGATTGGGTGTCTGGTTACTTCTTAAGCACGTGTAACTCTTCTTGGGTAGCTTAAGATATATTTTAGTTTCCTAGCTGAGGAATTCTATAAAATATTTCTATATGTGACACGGCACCAGAGTTAAGTTAGGGTTTTTCAAAATGCTGACACACTGAGCTCAAAAGGTTCGCCATCACTGCCCTAGGGGGACAGTGGTTGTGGCTAGGGTCTGGTCTCTATCTGTTGGGCTCCAGAGCCCTTCATGAGCCTGTGTGCTGAAGGCCTCCTTCAGAGCTCAAGGAGAAGATGCCCCCACACTTGGACAAGAAGACCGGACATCTGAAACCTCACCCCTGACTCCTCTTTCTCCCACCCCCACCTCCAACCCTTCAGTAAGTCCTATTGCTCTAACCAAAATACATCTGGAATCCAGCCCCTTTCACCACCCACAGCAACCACTCTGGTTCTTTAAAAATATAAGCCAGATCATGCCCGTACTCTGCCCTAAACCCTCAATGGCTCCCATTTCACTCTGAGAAAAAGCCCACGTCCTTACAAGGGCCTACAGGCCCTATGTGACCTGGTCCTGGCCACCTCTTGGATCTCCTGGTCACTTCTCCCAAGTCCCCCACCCTGCCCTGGCCACAGCTTCCTCCTTGCTGTTCTTCCCGTGTCCTCCAGCCATGCTCGTGCCCCAGGGTCTTTGCACCTCCTACTCTCTCTTTCTGGAATGTTCTTCCCCAGCTGTCCATGTGACGTGCTCCTGAACTTCCTTCAGGTTTTTACTCGAATGCCTCCTTATGAAAGAGCTCCTTCCTGACCAGCTTGTCTAAAATATCAGCCCCTGTCACTCTCTATTCTGTGTTCCTTTTTCATGGCCCTGATCACCATGCAGGCCAACTCCATCTCCCAGGGCATGTTTTTTTAAACAAGAGCCTTCAAAGTCAATCCCTTCTCTCACTATCATTGCCCATCTCCAGTTTCAGCCCCAACCCAACAGCTTCCAGAGGGAGCAGAAGTTGCCACCACAAGTGAGAGGTGGAATCAGGAGCTCTGCCCCCTTTAGATGTCTTACTGGAGGCTGTCTACACAGTGGTTGTCACCACCTGTCCTTAAGCCCTGGAGATGTCTTGACTCTAAGGGGATAGCTTGGTGTTTTCTCTGGCCCAACATCATGGGCACAGCCTCCATATCAGCAAGGAAAAGGAATAAGATTCCCAGCAACGGGTCCGTGCAGGTGACCCTGCTGGCTGGCTAAGAATGGGGGAAAGAAGACTCCAATGTGGCTCCATCCTGAAGAATCAAAGCAGCACGTTTTATTTATTTATCTATCTATCTATCTATTTATTTATTTATTTATTTATTTATTTA